TTCAACCACCACACATGAGTGCAGGGCCAGCCTTTTCATGCCTCCATACTTTCTACCAGTCTAGATGTGGCTTCTTCTGTAAATCATTGGTTATAAGACTTTTGTTCAGCTAGTCTTCAATTGGTTATTCAGGTTGATTGTTCTATATTTTAGTTGTAAATCCAGTTTGGTCCTGGGAGGAGGTGAGTGTAACTTCTACCTCCTCTGCCTCCATCTTTAATCCTTTGAAATTCTTGTTTTGTTAAAATGTTATCTGGGTTCCAGTATTTCACAGATCTCTTATTAAATTTCATTTAAATGAGGCATGAATAAATGTCATTTAAAGTAAAAATCATCCTGGCCAGTGTGGCTCAGTGGGTGGAGCATTGTTCTATGCACTGAAAGGTTGCCGGCTTAATTCCTAGTCAGGGTACAAGCCTGGGTTGCCAGTTTGGTCCCCAGTTGGGGTGCATACAGGAGGCAGCCTATTGATGTTTTTCTCTCACACTGATGCTTCTCTCTCACACTCCCCCCACCTTTCTTTTTTCTTTTTTAAATATATATATATTTTTTTTAATTAAATCTTTATTGTTCAGATTATTACAGTTGTTCCTCTTTTTCCCCCCCATAGCTCCTCTCCACCTGGTTCCCACCCCACACTCCACCCTCACCCCCCCCCACTGTCCTCATCCATAGGTGCACGATTTTTGTCCAGTCTCTTCCGCATCCCCCACACCCCTTTCCCCCCCAAGAATAGTCGGACCACTCCCTTTCTATGCCCCTGATTCTATTATAATCACCAGTTTATTCTGTTCATCAGATTATTTATTCACTTGATTTTTAGATTCACTTGTTGATAGATGTGTATTTGTCGTTCATAATTTGTATCTTTACCTTTTTCTTCTTCCTCCTCTTCTTAAAGGATACCTTTCAGCATTTCATATAATACTGGTTTGGTGGTGATGAACTCCTTTAGCTTTTCCTTATCTGTGAAGCTCTTTATCTGACCTTCAATTCTGAATGATAGCTTTGCTAGATAAAGTAATCTTGGTTGTAGGTTCTTGGCATTCATCACTTTGAATATTTCTTGCCACTCCCTTCTGGCCTGCAAAGTTTCTGTTGAGAAATCAGCTGACAGTTGTATGGGTACTCCCTTGTAGGTAACTGAGTTTCTTTCTCTTGCTGCTTTTAAGATTCTCTCTTTGTCTTTTGCTCTTGGCATTTTAATGATGATGTGTCTTGGTGTGGTCCTCTTTGGATTCCTTTTGTTTGGGGTTCTCTTTGCTTCCTGGACTTGTAAGTCTATTTCTTTCACCAGATAGGGGAAGTTTTCTGTCATGATTTCTTCTAATAGGTTTTCAATATCTTGCTCTCTCTCTTCTTCTGGCACCCCTATAATTCGGATGTTGGTATGCTTGAAGCTGTCCCAGAGGCTCCTTACACTATCTTCGTATTTTTGGATTCTTTTTTCATTTTGCTTTTCCGGTTGGGTGTTTTTTGCTTCTTCGTATTTCAAATCTTTGACTTGATTCTTGCGATCCTCTAGTCTGATGTTGGAACCCTGCATAATATCCTTTATTTCAGTCAGTGTATGCTTAATTTCTAGTTGGTCCTTTTTCGTAACCTCGAGGGTCTCACTAGATTTCTTGAGGGTCTCACTACATTTATCGGCGGTCTCACCAGTCTTTTTGAGGGTCTTATTAAATTTATCGGCAGTTTCTAGAAAGTTCTTGAAAAACCTTAAAAGTGTGGTTTTAAACTCTGTATCCAGTCGTTTGCTTTCCTCTATTTCTGTCATTTGTGACCTGTTTCTTTGTCTCCGCATTTTTTATGCTTCCCTGTGTTGATAGAGTGGCTTTCTGTGCTAGGTGTCCTATAGGGCCCAGTGGCTCAGCCTCCCCAATTACCTGAGGTGGACACTCTTGGTGCACCCCTTTGTGGGCTTTGTGCACAGTCTTGTTGTAGTTAAGCCTTGATTGTTGTAGGTATCACTGAGAGGAATTGACCTCCAGGCCAATTGGCTGTGAGAATCAGCTGTGTCTGCAGTGGGAGAACTTCTGTGCTGAAGACACCCTTCTGGGGCAAGACTTGCTTCAGTGGGGCTTTGGTGCTCACTGAGTCTGCCCCCTGAGTGTGTCCCTTATGGATCTGAGGTGTTGTAATTGGATGGTCCCACTCTGACCACTGGGTACACTGGCTCTTGGATCTAAGGAGGTGCTAATTTAGCCTCTGCCTGAGGCTACCCAGCAGGAGCTATGGAGAGATCTGCAGATTTCCCTTCCTTGTTTGGGGTTTGGAGGTGCCCAGATGAGGCCCAGCTGTGAAGCAATGCAAGCTGCTGTGGGGCCTTGGGCCTTCTCTTGGAAGTTCTGGGTCTGTCTGGCCCAGCTGCAGTTTGTTAGGTAATTTTCAGATTGCAAAGGGCCAGGGCATTCATATGCAAAAGCCTCTGCTGCAGTTTGGGTGGGGCGGGGTCTCAGGGAATCAACAGGGCGGAACAAGCAGCTTTGGCTGATCCTCAGCCCTGCCCTAAGGGGCCCCACCATCTCAGTGTCCCGGTAATCGGTAATCACTGCAAGCACCTTTGAGAGAAAGCCGCCCTCGAGTTCCGAGTTCTGCCCGCTGCCAGACAGTCCACTTTCTCCCTGTATGAGTCTGGGTCCTCAGAGACTCACCCGGAACTGGAGTTCAGAGCAGTCGGGGGCTTGTGACTCCCGCCCGATTCAAAAAGACAGCCGCGTCCTCAGTTGCCAGCCCTTGCTGCGTGCGCCTCCGTACCTCTGCACTTTACTTCCGCACCTCCTCTGAGTCTCAGTGTGCTTTTCTCTTTCCTTCTAGTTGTAGAATTTCCACTCAGCCAGCCTTCCTGTGGTTCTGGATGATGTCCGTTTTGTCTTTTAGTTGTATTTTTGAATTTGTTGTGGGAGGCAGCAATTTCCGGTGTTTACCTATGCCGCCATCTTGGTTTCTCCTAAATATATTTTTATTGATTTCTGAGAGGAAGAAAGAGGGAGAGGGAGAAACATCAATGATGAGAGAGAATGATTGATCGGCTGCCTCCAAATTGAACTGTGACCTCCTGGTTCATAGGTGAGTGCTCAACCATTGAGCAACACTGGTCAGGCCCCCCCTCTTTCTCTCTCTCTAAAAACATAAAATAAAAATAACTAAAAATCATTCCAAATAAAGCAAAGTAATGAGAGAGAAACATGGATCAGCTGCCTCCCGCACACCTCCCACTGGGGATGTGTCCGCAACCAAGGTACATGCCCTTGACTGGAATCGAACCCGGGACCCTTCAGTCTGCAGGCCGACGCTCCATCCACTGAGCCAAACCGGTCAGGGCCTAAGTGTGACTTCTTGGTCTTTCCATCTGAGACATTCAGGCCTTCCATAGCAACTTGCTGAAGTTTCTTCATTTTGACTTGCCCAGTAGCTTCCTTCTCTAAAGCCACTCACCTTGCTCACATCCCAGCCTTTCTGCTCATCTGCTCAGCATTCCTATCCCTTGTTGTCACAGCATCATGAGACTGGGGCATAGTCCTCCTTGGTCTCTGATGGCCTGAGTACAGGGGCCAGAACTGGGGACTCGGTGTTTCAGGAGAGATGCAGAGGCTGGGCCAACAGGGGTAAGGCCTAGCACTGGGGACTGGGCTTGTCAGCCTTCAGCTCCACTTACAGGAGATAGTGACAACATTTTCTGTGCTCCTGTGGTCTTGGGTGTGGTTTGAGTGGTCCCCACTACTGGAAATAACCCCAGCCCTTGTTCTCTCCACCAGCCTCCATGCTTGCCAAACTCAATTCAGTTCTCACTTTACTGATCCCTGTGAAGCCTTCCCTGATGCCCCTGCCCAGCTGAGCTTAGTTGCTGCCTTCCCTAACAGTAATCATTGAGCACCAACTCTGTCAGATACTGTGCGAGGGGCTGGGCATGTGAAATTAGATGTCATGGTTTCTAACTCTGAGGAGACAAGTAGGGGAAACTGACTTAAGGCAACATTTACAGTAGAGTGTGAGGAAGGACAGAAATACAGCACTGTGTAGTGTGCTTTAGGGGCACAGTGTACTTCTGGCGGGAGGGGGGAGCACTGAAACTGAGTGCCCAGCCCAGGATCAGTGCTCAAGAACAGACCACGGAGGGCTTTTCATCCCATAGGTAGGAACTGTAGGGAAATAGACCTAATTTAAAAGATAACTGACATGTGGGCATTCTCAAAGTAAAAGTTTTAAAATTTACTGTGGCTATCTATCAATTAGTTTTCATCAAAATATGGATCTTAACATGTGTTTGCTCCTTGACCACTCTCTATGGTTGAGTGGTTCTCACAGTGTGGTCAGCATCCAATTAGAAATTGTTAGAAGTGCACATTCTCAGGATCACCCCAGACCTGCTGAATCAGAGACAAGGGTGGGCCTAGCTATCTGTCTGCAGCTCTTTGTCTGCAGGTGATTAGGTGGGTGCTCAGATTTGGGAACTATGGCTTTCATTCTGTGGAGTTGGTGAGTTCTCTTTGAGAGAGGCTGGCTAGGCTGCGATTCACTTTCCTCCCTCCTTTGCCTGAGGAACTCTCTTGTCAAGGAGGTGGGTAAAGGGCATTGAGGGAGGGCATCCTCTGTGTCTAGCAGAGGCCTTTCCTCTAAGCTGTGATCTTGGTTGCTCACTAGACTCCACTTGACAGCTCTTGACTGCTTCTTCTGCCCCGTGTCTGAGCTGATGATGCATGCTGAGATTTGCAGCCAGAGCCTGATATGTGTGTGTTAGGTCTCGGTGAAACAAATTACCCTGAAATATTCACCCCAATTAATCAGGGCTTATCCTTGTGGGCACCTAATTAAGTGGATTCGGCTTCTAATACCAATTTGGTGGTTAAACTGCAACTCTGGTGTCCAACAAGGTAATTAATTACATGGCTTTTCTTCCTGAGGATGCACTTTTCTGGAGTCTTGTGTCCAGCAGCTTGCCTTGGCAGGCCATACAGCCTAGGATGGCAACTAAATGTGTGCAATTTTTGTCTTTGCAGGAATGAGTTAGAGCGACAGTTTCTTGAATTGCTCCAGTTCAACATCAATGTTCCTTCCAGTGTTTATGCCAAGTATTATTTTGATCTTCGTTCTCTGGCAGAAGCAAATAACCTGAGCTTTCCTTTGGAGCCCCTGAGCAGGGAAAGGGCTCACAAGCTTGAGGTAATGTATTTTAACATACTGCTTTTGGGTGCACTATTGCCGACTCATCATCTGGGTGCCATGGAAGGGTAAAGGGTGTGATTACAATGCTGATTTCTCCCACTGTGTTGTTATGAAATAAGGGCAAGGTACCCTGGATTTAGAGGTCGTCAAATAATTTAATGATAATTTGTACAACCTTATATTTTCAATAACCTTAATATCAGTTTTTATTTAATGCACATTGATTCTATTTTTTAAATGAAAGATTTTTTAAGTTTCAGTTTTTAAAAAATAAGCCCACAAAAAAGATTTCCCAGCATACGCTTTTATAAGGAAACAGATACTAGAAGGCCCCAATTATTCCCTAATTATTAGGAATCCAGAAACGATTGATTTTGCTTTTTAGTTTTTCAAATTATTTTTCCCATAGCCCAGTTAGAGCTAGGGCCAGCCCCTTTGGCCTTGGTCTGGGTTTAAGGCCTACATTGTTAAGTTGTATGAATTTTGTGTCTTATACTTATATGGAGCTTAGCTCCATATTTGCACCTAGCTCTTGACCCACTGTTCCAGAGCAGTGTGTAGAGGCCCTCTGCATTTCCATCTCCAGGCACCATATTGGTCTCATTCTGCGTTGACCAAAGCCGTAGATGGTATAGTCATGTCTCAAGATTGGTGAGACCTAAGAGGTCCATACCTCATTTTCTATCCTGTTGAAACATCCTCCCCTGGCCAGTACTGGGTCAAGATGGTCAGAGTGATGGTCTAACAGGGTTAACGGCTGAAAACAAAATAAGGTCTAGAGGTGGGAGGAAGAGGGTTTGGATTAAGCTATGGATTTCAAGCTTAAGAAAGCAAAAACTTAACATAAAAATTTAAAAAGTAAATAATGCTAATTCCTAAAAGGAAACGTAATAAAACTAAATTTGGAAAAGACTGGATGCATAGCATTGGTTTTAAAATAAAAATCCAGGGAGGTTTTCAGAACTTGGTCACTTTTCTGTCATTATGTACCAGCCTTTAGAGTGGAACTGCTCATTAAATCTCCCATTTCTCTTGTATTCAAGAACATAAGATAGAACTCTGAAGGACTTGCTCCAAGGCACATACTGTCAAACCTTCACAAGCACACACATGAAGTAGAATTTGATATCAGGGTGAACATGAACGCTGTTTCAGTATGTGCAGTGGTCCTCATACCCCTCGTGTGCTGAGATGGGCTCAGTCACTCCTTCAGTGCCGAGGTGAGGAGAAGAGCTTGGAGCTCCTGGGAGCCACTCAACCCTGAAGGAAAGCAGAGCTGTGGCTCTCTGAGTGAGAATATTTAATGGTTCAGGTCAGTTAAATGGGGAGCACATAGACTGGCTGAGACTGAGGGAGTCGTGCCTACTTCTTTTCACTCCATTAGCTTATCTGAGTGGAAAGAGAGGAGAACTCACCTGCTCCTGGTGTGGCCATGCCAAATGCCCCAGGGGCAGGAGGAAGGCCAGTAATCTGACAAAATGTTCCCTCCCTCTCCTCCTGAGACACAGAGAAGCGAGCTCTGGGAAAGCAGATAGCACCCCTTTGAAATAATTTCTTAGGAATGGGGTTTCATTGTTTTCCAGACCCTAGCGTTCCTGTTAGTCCATTTGGTTAGCACACTTGAACCCCATAATAGAAAGCAGACTGAAACCTCAGAGGAGATGCCATAACCTGAAGTTTTGTGCCGGTTCAAATGTCCCACCAGCTGGCTATTTTGATATGCTGGTTGCAGCATAGAGTGTAGAAATAGGAGCACCAGGAACCAGGGCAAATGCAAAGTGGTCTTTTCATTAGCAGGTCATTTCTCTCTGAAATAAATTAGTATCCCTCTATGCATATGGAGGATGTGATTAAAGATAATATCAGTTTGCATAGTAAAATCTAGAATGAAATAACACATTGCTAATTTGTTATGATATTGCATTCAGACTCATGCTGTTTGTAAGCTGAGAAACAACAAATAAAACAATAAAGAAAATAATTTGCTTTAAAAAATGGTTGTTCAAATGCCCGTAAGGAATCTGATTTTTCTCTTCTTTAAGTATGCCACATATATTTCATATATGAAACATTTAAAATGAATTCTCAGTATTACAGCCCACTTGCTACCCTAATTCATCTCTCATTTGGAGGAAGACATCCTTGACTCCTGTCTCTCCTCCATTCCACCCTCCATGCTGCCAGTGGAGTTGCTTTTCTAAAATGCAGTTGTAGGTTGTGGAACATTAATTCTTTTTTTTCTTTTTTTGTTAATCCTCACCTGAAGATATTTTTCCATTGATTTCCAGAGAGAGTGGAAGGGAGAGGTAGAGACAGAGATAGAGAAACATCAATGTGAGAGAGACATCGATTGGTTGCTTCCCACATGTGCCCCAACCAGGACCTGGGATTGAGCCTGCAACTAAGGTACATGCCCTTGATGGAATCAAGGGACCCTTCAGTCTGCAGGCTGACCCTCTACCCACTGAGCCAGACCAGCTAGGGCTGGAACGTAAATTCTTAAAATCGCTGGCAGTTTTGCATCACCACAAAATAACACCTTAGCCAGCCAGTGTGTGAGCAGCCGTGTCAGCCTGGCTCTGTCAGCTCTGCTCTCTCCATCCCCTGCTGCCTGCTGGTTGCCTTCCCCAAGCCATCAGCTACCTCTCACCATGCCAGCACACTGCCTTGCTTAAAATGCCAGATCCCTCCTGATAAATTCCTCTTCCCTCCAAGCACAGCCCTTGAAGCCTAGGTCTGATGTCCATTATCAGTCATGAGTGTCCCTTCATGGATTCCCCAAAATAGAATCAATTGCTTAGTCCCCTCTATTTTTAGTACTTTGACCATTCCTTTGTTATGTCCATGCCTCTGTTATGTGCATATCTTGAGTGGAACTTATATATCCGTTCGACACATATTTACTCAGGGCCCTCTGATATCAGGTGCTGGTTACAGCTCTGCCCTGAGAATGGTCATGAACAAAGCTCATAGAGCCTGCTCTTGCAGTTTGCATTCTGCTGGGAGGAGACAAACAGTGAACAATAAACATAATAAATAAATAAAATTTGAAATAACTAATATGTTAGAACAGGGGTGGGGAATCTTTTTTCTGCCAAGGGGCATGTGGATATTTACAGCATCATTTGCAGGTCATGCAAAATTATCAGCTTAAAAATTAGCCTGCTGCATTTGATCAAACATTTAATTAATTCACTCCTAATGCCTTGGCAGGGCCAGACCAAATGATTTTGTGGGCCTTATAGCTGCATGTTCCACACCCCTGTGTTAGAAGGTTAATTATAAAGAGGAGAGCAGGGTAGGGGTGCGGTAGTCAGAGCCTAATTGACTAGATGATGTTTGTACAAAGACTTGACTTTGCAGACACTTCCAGGCTGAGGGAAGAGCTGGTGCAGTGCCTGTGGTGGAAGCCAGTGGGGAGGCCAGGGATTAGGGTAGGCAAAGTGACTCAAAGCATTGGGGAATGCATCAGGGAGAGAAGGGCAAGCAGGGAGACCAACTTCAAAGATTATTCTGCAGTCTTAGCAAGAGCCAGTGGGATCTGATCAGGGCACAGGGTGAGAAGTGGGTGGCTGCTTTTGTGCTTTTCCCTTGACTGTGACTTCCTGGTGGATGAACACTGTGTCTGTCCCCCTAGCCCTGGCACAGTCCCCAGCCTTTCTCTGGAATTGTGTAGAAGTTAAAAAACTTCTTCTTTGCCTAGTAATGTCACCCTCATCACTGCATCATCATACAGATGGCAGGTGAATGTGTCTTAAACAAGCTTCCTGGGGTGGTATGAGCCCTTTCGAGAGCTATGACTATACTTCAGCCCCAATGCAGGCCTGGCCCTACTTTTAGCTGCAGCCCTCTGCCTAGAGTCCCACTGCCCTCATCAACAAAATGAAGCCAATGTTGATTATCTTTGCATCCCATGTTTCTGTGCCCCCTCTGGTTCCCTTCTGCAGCAGTGGTCCAGAGATGACTCCCTTCTGCTCTGACTTAGTCTCTGATTAATGATCATGGCCAACTACTGCGCTCCTCATGCACACATCCAGCATGGAGCTCCAGTGCTTCATAGCCACCCTGTGAGGAGGGCGCTGTGATGGCCCCACTTGCAGACAAGGATGCTAAGAACTTAAATGGGGGCACATACCCAGCTCATACACCCCTAAGTGGGGAACCAGCATTGAACTTGGATCTGGCTGACCCTAGGCTACTGTAAGCACTTTGGAAACAGGGACTGTGTCTACACTTTCTTCGTATCCTGCCCTGTGCCACAGTTCTTTGCTGTGGGATGTGAACCACGTGGGCAGGGCCTCTTTCTGGTTTTTTGTTCATGAGTGTCTTCAGTGCCTAGAAGGATGCTGCTCAAGCAGTGCTTGGTGTCTGGTGAGTGAGTGCAAGGAGGGAACTTCAGGGTCCAGCCCTGACCTGAATTGTCTCTCTTCTGCCCCTCAGGCCATCTCTCGCCTCTGTGAGGACAAGTACAAGGACCTGAGGAGACCCACGAGGAAGCGGTCAGCGAGTGCTGACAATCTGACTCTGCCTAGGTGGTCCCCGGCCATCATCTCCTAACTGGGCGTCCCCACTGGAGGCTGTACCATCCCTCAGTTTCTCCTTTAGTTTGAGAAAAGACAGACTTGGGATGGTTTTGTTTTTGTTTCCCTTTTTTGGTTTTGTTAAAGTCATAACTCCATCAGGCTGCTTCGATGACTGCCTTTGAGCTGTGTGGCCCACATGCAGCAAGGCTTTGAGGGAAGCAAAATCAGTATTCTGGAAATCCTGTTTCACACCTTGCCCTGTCATCATTAACAGCACTTCCTTCTTGGAAGATAAAGACTCGAATCCTGGAGGAGGAAGTAAAGGGAAAGGAAAGTTGTGTAGAAGCAGGAAAAATGGCTAATGACATGGCCATTTCTTAAGTCCCCCATCTGGTCAGTAGGTGAATATGATGGAAAACAACAGTAGTTAACACAGTTAGATGTTCATTAAAGACAAGAGTGCTGCCTTTATCACCTCTGTCTGGATCAGTCTGTTCTTTAAGACTTCTTGCATCCCTTCTAACTGCTATTTGGGGATTTGGGGGATTTTTGTTGGTTTTTATTCTGTTTTGGTTTTGGCCCCACAGAGCAGAGAATATAGTTTGTACCATGGCACAGACATCCAAATAAATAGTACTGGTTGTTTCTCTCTGCGCTATTCCTGCGAGCTGTCTCCTGAGCTTTCTTCCTCACAAGTGGAATGCACTTGTTACATTTCTCTACCACTTTATTTTATACACTTTTTCTTCAACAATGGCAAAATTAACTTGACAATAGTGCTGAACCAAAAGTATCCCTTTCCTTCTTTATTCCTAACCTCCCCCCCCAAAAAAAAAAAATTCTAGATAACATGGGTGCTTGTGCCTTCCAATTTTCATGCAGTTGTTATTTTTAATCTGACCTGAAGTTGTAGTTCAAAATCAATCAAACCTCATGGGCCAAGGAAACAATGTGCAGTAGAAGCTGTCCTTGGTTGAGATTTTTTTCCAGATTGCTTGGTGTTTGCCTGAAGTTATTGAGTAGGAGCCATTTCTTTGTACTCCCTGCCCAGTTTGTTCCTCTACTTCCGCATCCATTGTTGCAAGCAATATTCTTATCAATTTTTATATGTTTATTTTAAATCAAAGTTAGTCTATTTGTATAAATTTTTTTAAAAATTTAAAATTAAAAAACGGGGGTGGGGTGGGTAGTCCAGTGGGGAGATTATTGGAGGGCAAAATGTTACTATTTGCTGAGATATTTTTCACAGAATGATTGAATAAAAAAAAACCACAACACTTGCATTTTCATTGTGGGTGCTTAGAGAAGTTACACAAAATTCAAACTGTGAAGGTTTATGCTTCATTAATTATGACGTACTTTTTTGTTTTCTGACTATTTCTTTAGAAAATAATCTTTTATATCAAAAGGGTTGATCAAATATCAAAGAGTAAATTTGGTATTAAGTCTTAAGAATCTGAGTCAATGAAGCATATAATGCTTTGGGTTTTTGCATATTTTCTTGTGTCACAATGACAAGAGGGTCTAACTTTTTTCCTTTCTCAAGTCTCTGAGGTGAATGGCAGCAGATACTCTGTTTCACCTTCCTTTTATGTGAGCTTGGAAAACTTTGGAATCTTATATTATTAGTCTTGAATACCCTTTGGAAATTAAAGGAATTCAGAAAGTTGAAATCCCAAGAATACCAAGCTGAAAGTACTAGTCAGGTTTCAATGAAATTTGTGTCATGGGTAAACATAACTGGGCCAGATATATTGTCAAGTTCTTTCTGACCTAACTTTCAAAAGCAAGGAAGCAGAAAAGGAAAAGTTAATTATTTTTCCATTGTAATTGTATTGATATACTTTGTATGGGTCCAAAATCAGCTTCTCTCTTCAAGTAAGAGTCTGATTTAGAACTTTAGAGATCTAAAAATAGAGAAAATAATCATTTTATATTCCCTATTCTATAGAGCTTAAAAAGGGACATATTTTCTTAGCTGAATATGAATACCTCTCAAGCATAAATTAGTTCCTCTCATGTAAAGTATCTTATTTTACCAATCCATTTCAAGAAAGAAGTTCTGCCTTTAAAGCAGAAATCTTATTTTTATCCCTTTCATTTGAATGAGATTTGAAAATTGAATTATGTAAATATTTCAATGCATCTACTATTATTTTGTGGAGTTTATTAAACTACTTTAAAAAAATTGTATAGTCTATATATTGTATGTACATACAGTCTGATAACTTAAAATTTAAAGTGAATCCCATAAAACCTGGCTCACTCTTTGTTTAGACTATTGAATATTGTTTTAGCCTTGTGCACTGGACTCTACCTCTGTATAGGAAAATTTTCCATATCATTAATAAGTATTGATCTGTATTAATTGGTTATGTTTCTTGCACTAAGAATTTTTAAGCTCTGCTGTAAGTGTAGATTTTACTTTGCAGTATGAATTACTTGACACATAGCTAAATACTTTAGGTTTGTTTTATTTTTCTACATGATGATGAAGACAACATTTTGTTCTCTGGTTTGTTCTAAGTTTGCCAAAAAAACAACAACAAAATATAAAAAAACAAAATCCTACAACAACAGTACAAGTACAGTACTGGTAGTGAATGGTTTGTTTGCAAGGTGATTCAATGCACTATAATTAAAGCTGGATTACTCTTTAGGAATACATTGTCTTAATGTAGTTTTGAATGCACAGTTTTCATCACTAATGAAGGATTAAGAAAACCACACAATTTGTTTAATTTAGACTTAAACAACAAAGTCACTGGGAGAATAAGTATATATTCCAATGAGTATTTTTGGTTTATTTTACTTTATTCTTAACTGGGAAAAGAGAAAGAAGTCAGGGATTCAAAACCAAATTGGAGGGCAAGCTGGGAGATCCTACCAAGATCAAGATGTGCTCCCATGCCTTACTGCATGAGGTCAGAGCCTGGGCTATCATCTGCTCTGTCCTGGGCTGGACTCATGAGCTTCTTCCTTGGGCATTGGCAGGAGCTTCTCCATCTTGGGGTTTCCCTTGGTTCTGGGGATTTTGATCCTCAGCTGAGCTGCAAAGCAGAATTTTCGGAGTGAATGATTTCAGTCCTTTCTGGCTGTTTTTTGTAATCTCACACTTTGGGGCCATATTTTACAGTTTTGAATTTTTAAAACAAAGTTTCATTCCTGGTTCATTGTAGGTATTTATTAAGTGTTAAATAAATAAATGCAAAGAACAAATAATGACTGCCTTCCTGCTGCATTTTTTAAATATTGATATAAAATTTATAAGGTTTTATGGATGCTGAGTAAACCAGTTCTTTGCAACAGTAGTCTAAAAGTGTTCTTAGTCCTATAAATCTTGGGTGACTCAAAGAAGCATTAAGACCTCTTAGAAATCTCCAGCAGTTGAGACGGTTGCACAATAGAGACCTATTAGAGCAACTCCCATTTATATCAAAGGCTTATTTTATCTTTAATAACTTTATCCCCCCTCATTGTAGTGTCTCAAAACTTACTTTCAGTGGATCTTAGAAATGTGGAGCATCTGAAAGGCCAGCCTGAGAGTCCCCCTCTCCCCCCCTTATTGAAAGGGAGGAGGAAATGGAAAACATGCCCTTGGGTGAAATGAGAAAAGGATACTTAACTAATTTGGGATTTATATTTTAAGCTATATGGATTTCAAGCAAAGCCCTACACAGGTCTTCATTAAGATCATGGTTTGCTGTTACTGAATGCAGAGCTATTGGACCAGAAAACAAATTGCCTCATAGGTGCCATATAGGCCTCAGCACAGGTGAGGGGTGTGAAAGAATACTGGAAGCCATGGGAATTGGTGATGGAGTTTGGACCTGAGCAGGTCAACCAACTTCCTTTCCAGTCTTTCCTGATCAATTTTCTTACTAAGTTTGTATATGTGAAGCTGCTAAAGGTCTACTATGTCACTTCTCATTAGAAACTTTCTTCAAGAGTTCCATGATCAGCACTGAAATGATACGCTTTTATTCATTTCTCAGTTGAAAGAGTAATTGGAGGCAGCTCTGTGTCTGTATTGCTGCAAGTCTGAGCTGTGAGCACCCAGGTAAGGACTTGTCCTAGCAACTGTATTGTCCATTGTAAGTCTTTATAGAAGGCATTCTGGAAGAACCTGTTACAATGAGAAGTGAGCTCAGATGAGGTGTCTGACTGAATGGTGTTACAACTTAACTGTGCCCTTTTGTAATTTGATTGGAGTAGAGGGCTTTATTCCTTTGAAGAACTTTATATGAATAAGTTTCCAAATACAGGCTAAAAGAATAGCATTCCAACGTGAATGTGGATTTAGACAAAGATACTCAATGTAACTGGAACTTGTGCATAACATTATGTCAATATGGTATTGATTTGTATTGTGATAGAACCTTGAGTTTTAGTCTCAGACCAAAGTTAACTTGTGTGACCTTGGACAAATTACTTTACTTCTCTGGATCACTCAGTGAACTTGGCTGGCAAAGATATACTTGCTGGTTGTTTTCTCCACCTCCCTTACTCTCTCTGTTCCTGAACACACTCTATTCAGCCATGCTTGCATCTTGATTGCTGGTTCTATTGTGCATGGATGTAGGAAGGCTGTGAAAGGTAAGTCCAAGCCTAATTGTGTGTTTCCCTGCTTAAGAAGGGTGGCTATTGGTAGATAGAGGTTTTTATATAAAAGGCAGGAGCATCCAGGTTTCAGCTACTGCCCATTCAACCCCTGGATCTGTCTTAATGTAACTGAATGTCCAGCTTATTCTCTAGTAGGGTTTTACTGGACCTGGCTTGTAAGTTCTTATTTACATTGATGGATATGGAAGATCTCAAGAGAGTGGATTTGGGTATAGGAATTCACCCCAAATGGATCAGTTTGGAAAAGTGTGCTTTATCCTTATTAACCCCTAATTAAACCTTCTTAACCCTACCGAACAGAAGCTCTGGAATCCCAGCTTTTGGAGAGAAGTATTCTGCTTCTCCTGTGTGGCACTTCCCACCAGCCCAGGAGGATAGAAAACATGGCCATATGCAAGCTTCCCAAATCTGAACCCTGCTTACCAGCTCTTGGTGCATACTTAACAGCATTTGGGGGGACCAAAGAATTGGGGTCTACTCCAAAGAGAAAAGCAGCACTTGGTAAAGCAATGACTGCAGGGTCAGCACACCCGAGCTCAAGGCCTCACCAGGACACTGGGACATTTGGCCTGGCAAGTCTTGCAACTTTGCTGGATTCTGAGTTGCTTAATCTTAACAAAGAAATGTGTGACCCTCTAGATTAGTCTGAGAGCATTTCTAGACAATATTTATCATTATTCTATGGATAACAGTTTTGGGATTTCTAGAACCAGTCTTGCAATTTAAAACAAAACAAAAAACAGAATTTGGAAAAACCTATGGTGCAGCATTCCAGAGCCCCAAGTGTTTACCAGCCCCCTTCATAGTTGCCTGCAGTATCCCACACCAAGTGGTGATCTCTTAACTGTGAGAAAAACTCAAAACATAATTTTGTTGTAGAATATTATCTAGAAAACATGTATTTGTTTTGTAATGAGTAGACTTTAACAAAGGCTTTAGTGTACATAATTTTCATTGAACGAATATTCATTGAACATGGACTATACTGGACATAGTGTTGAGGGCACACAGGGGAAAGAAGACAGACAAGGTCCATGTGTTCCTGGGATGTGCTGATAAATAAGCATATAAGTAGTGTATGTGGATTGTGATCAGTGTTATGAAGGCAGTGAGGTAGTATGAGTAGGGATCTCCATGGAAAAACTATGGGAGAGCTTCTTAGAAGAAGAGGTAGAGGGAAGGGAAGTTGGTTGGAGATGGGGCTAGAAAAGAATCACACACGTCAGGACTTGCAGGCCTCAGTGAGGAGCCCAGATGTTAAGACCAGTGGGAAAATGCTGTGGAGTTTAACTGGGAACAGCTATTTATTAGACTCCACTTGCCTGATGTAGCTGTGGCACTCAGAGAATAAATATGACAAAGGGACTGTGGTCCCTGCCTTTGTGCCTACAAGCTAATAGGAGGGAAGTGCTTTATGCCCTTTATAGATTGAACTAGAGGCCCGGTGCACGAATTCATACACCAGTGGGGTCCCTTGGCCTGGCCTGTGGGATCAGGCCAAAACTGAATGTCATGCAACTGAATGTCCAGGCTCTCCGACATCCCCCAAGGGGTCCCAGATTGTGAGAGGGCACAGGCCAGGCCAAGGGACCCCACTGGTGCATGATTGAGGCTGGGAGGGATGCGGGAGGCTGGCCAGCCAGGGAGGGACCGCAGGAGG